TAGCTGGGTGACGAGAAGAGGCGAGTGAGTCGGTCATTTATTTATGCATGTTATTGCTTCCGTTTGAATAAATAAGGCTTCATGAACCTTTATGATGAGACTTGATTAAACTATTTTCCAGAACTTATGACTTGTGTGTTTTTGGAAAATTATTGGATCCCTGATGATGGGTATTATGGTTTGATTATATAGTCGTGTTGAGAATTATGCCTCGTGATGTGTTTGGTTAATGAAAACCATTTGTGAAAACTGGGTAATGAATCCCCATAGGTCCAGATAAGACTTGGGTTATGAAAATGTTGTTTAACACCCATTAAATTTCGAAAATGATCTCGAAAATGTTAAACTGATTTTTGGAAAGTTCGGAATTTTTTTAAAATCAAAGAGGGGTTTTACAATTGCGACTTGAAATAAGAGTCACTAGGCCGGGTATATCATGACGGCTTGAAATAAGAGTCATTATTTCGGGTTACCATGGAGGCTTGAAATAAGAGCCACTTAGCCGGGTATACCATGGAGGCCTGAAGCTGGACCGTAGCAGTATAGTTTCGGAAAGTAACAACCTTTAGAGTCAGTAAGTCGAGTATCCTACCAGTTAGATACCTTGATTTATAGTTGGCAAGTTTAAGATTAGTTATCAGTATAGTACTTGCGGGACCAGTTGATAACTGGACTAGCCCTATAAAGTACATAGTCAGAAGCCAACGTTCGTGAGTTAAGGTTGTCGTATAATAGTTATTAGCCGGGTAACATATGGAGATCTATAATACAGATCATTAGTCCAAATTTACCTGGGAACTTGAAGTCAGGCCGTCTTAGACCTCAGTAAGACTGTAAGTATCAGTCCAAATTCTGAGACTTCCAGTCAAATATCTCGGGAAAACTTCTAGAATTCAATTAAAAGTAATTCAGTTATGTGAAAGTTGAGGACGGTCTGTCTAATAAGACAAGACTAATAAGTTTTCTCACAAGTATATCCAGAGCCTCGATTCTCAAATTTAGAAAATTTGAGAAATCGTAGCAGAGATTATTTCTCAGTAAATTTTTCTTGAGGTTAGTTTGGCCTCAGGAAAGGTGAATATTATCCGATACAGCGTGTCGATATATGACACATCTTTCGTTCGTGATGGAGAAGACTAATCAACAGCGACAGACAACACTGTGGTGACAAACCAGAGCCTTCCATAGGAGGACAATGAGGTAATCAACAACGTGTCGATATAGGACGCACGTTGCAAAAAGAGAAGAAGCCATATCTAAGTCGTAGTACGTCGGGAGATCACAAAGAGTTAGCATATTAGTACAATGAGGTTACTAGCATGAGATACATATATGACGAGTTATACAGACTACATCGACTTCGCAGGTGCTATGTTCGCCAGGTGTTGCATGCAGGCGTATCGCACTCATTAGATGAGGAGCAGGTGTGTCGCATTACATAGTGCCGCGAATGATGTGTCGCGTCATCGGGTAGGTTTTCACGATAGGTAGTTACCGAGATGGCTAGTAGTCCTCATTTGTACATGTGCGTATCTCTGAAGTCTTCTGTGCGTACCACATTGACTTGGGTCTTACAACCAAAGTCAATATTGAAGATCGACAATTGGCCTGGCGGAGATATCCAGCATGCTCAAGAATTGTGTCTTGAGTATCGAGTATAACCAGTATAAATCCCCAATTCACCTAGTTCTTCGTGAATTGATGATTCTTCAGTTAGAAGCAGAGTTTAAAGCTCAGTATTCAAATATTGAGTTCTTAGTTTATGCCATCAGTTTACTATAAGCTCTGAGTTAAGCTTGTACTTTCAGTTTTATTATTCTGAGGATGGAAATAGTTTAAGGGGGATAGACTGTAACACACGTATTTTATAAATAAAGGAAAGAGAGTTGCTTTCGAGTATAAGCTAGCCTTTATTAATAAATGATCGATGTTAGTTCCGAGCCTAAGTTTTTCAGCTAGTTAAGTTCCAAATTCGACGTTAAGTCGAAAGTATATTCGGTTGATTTTATTTATTAACCGAGTCAATTCTAGTAATTAATCTGAGTCCATTAATCTGAGTTAAGCTTGTACTTTCAGATTTAGTATTTCCGAAGACAGAAATACTTTAAGGGGTATAGATTATAACGCACCGTATTTTATAAATAAAGGAAAGATACTAGCTTTCGAGTATAAGCTAACCTTTATTAATAAATGCTCGATGTTAGTTTCGAGCCTAAGATATTCAGCTAGTTAAGTTCCAAATTCGACGTTAAGTCGAAAGTATATTCGGTTAATTTTGTTTATTAACCGAGTCAATTCTAGTAATTAATCTCAGTCCATTTATTTAATAAATAGGCATTAGTAAGTTCGAGATTAATTATTCCAGTGTTGACGTATTAATCGAATTTGAGAATATTCGATCAGTCGTCAAAAATGAGTTTTCGAGCCCAGTTAGTAAGTTATTCAGATATAAGTTTGACTGTAAATCGATAGTCGATTCGGTTTAATTTATAATCAGTAACCAAAACAGTTTAGATAATTAATTCCGATACGCTTATTTTAATAACGGATATTAGTAATCGGGATTAATTATTTTTAGTTGACATATTATTCGAAACTTAGAATATTCGAGTTAATCGTCGAAGTCGAGTTCCGACTGAAATCGAGTAATTTGGTCAAGATTAAACCTTAGTTTAATTCGTACTTATGCTTGGAAGAAATTTCTAAGTATTAGTAGTATATATATTCTTATAAGCAAAAGAGTTGTTTGTTAAGCAACAATAAGCACACATGCGCCATTAGTAGTGCCGAGCGTGTGGCATGTTGCTAAGGCATTTTATGCCATTAAACTTCATTATTTTAACTTAGTCATGCTTAGGAGATAGTCATCTTTGTTAGTATATCTCCTAAGGGTATGCCACCTACGCTATTTGCTTAGACAATTATTTTACCACCATCATATAATTGAAGGACAAGTGTCCTTATTGGATTTTGTTATAAAAATTCATCCGCCTTCAACTTATATATATTAGAAGAGGAGTTTACCTCATGAAATTTAAAATTCTCCATGCTTAGAATAATAGAGAGTAATAGCCGTAAGTGATTAAATACTATTTTATAAATTCATACACTTAGCAAAAATGAAGGGAAAAACGAGAGGAGGATTTAAAAGCAAAAGTTCATGGTCATCTTCCATTATTTCATATATATATATATATATATATATATACATGGCATATATATTGAGAGAAAAACCGAGAAAGAGAAATCTTATAATTCCCATGTCTTATTAACCAATAATAACTATATAAAGCCTAGCCTTTTAGTGGAAATAGTTATTATTCATTTAGCAAATTTTAGAGGAACCGAGAGGGAGCGTAGCCACTCGAGCCGTGCACGCCATCATCGGAAGAAGAAAGGTACCGAGCGGACACGAGCGAGCGCACTAAGCCTAGCCCTATTTCACGAGCAATCGAAGGGGTAAAATCATGATGACATCTTTTAGTACTTATCTGATCATTTTAGGAAGGTCATGTGTAGATCATGTTGTTAAGTTCATTAGAATTGTCATGTTGCACTCGGAGGTGCCACAAAGGCCTTCCCGAGCCATTTCATGTTTAAACCGAGAACACCCGAGCATTTTATGTCATATTATGTGGATCTAAGTAGCCGTTGCCGGAGAAAGTCGTCGGACGGCCGGCACCTGCCTGCCCGCACATAGCGTGTGCAGCGCGCCCGGCAGTATCGTAAGGGCTTGCGGGCGTCCAGTTGGGCGTCGCGCATACCTGATGACGGATCGAATTTTTATCTATACAGGGTTGTGAATAATCGCGCATTCAGGGCCTTCTATTACTCACGATAAGTTTATCTAACAAACGCACTATCGGCCTTCTCCTAGACACTGTGACTTCAAGACGCTCTAATGGCCTTCTCTCCGACACTGTATGTAAACACGCACTAATGCCCTTGTTTAAAC